TAGCTAGCCGCTCGGGTGCCTGGGGCGGCGTGCGTGCCCTGCAGCTGGGGGCAGCACAAACTGCCCACGGGGGCGGAGTGAGCCAGGGCAGGGCGCACTGTGTGGAGCCTCTCCGCAGCCTCCCCCTCAGCTGTAGGGCGGCTAAGGCGGTGGGCAGATGCAAGCCCCGCATTGCTTGAAAAAGCAGTGTGCAGCTTGCAGGCAGTCCACCCACCGCCTCCCCAATCAGGAGAGACGTGTGGCTCAGGCACGCTGCAGGCCCCACGGTATGACGCCCAGTGCCCCCCACCTCACCTAGCTACGCCTCTGGATTAGGCAGATTCATGGAGGAGAGGGCTGTCGAAGGCTACTAGCCATAAAGGCTCTGCTCTGCCTTCAAAGTTGGAGGCAGCAATGCTTCTGGTTTCTGGAAATCACTCAAAGGGAGAGTGTTCCTGCTGTGGTGTAGGAAGGGGCGTGTGGTGGGTGCAGGAGTTATTTTTTCAAAAACACATATTTTTGTCATTTTGTCATCCCCCTCAGTGATGACACCCGGGGCGGTACGCACCCACTGCACCCCCCTTCCTACACTACTAAGAGTGCTCATTTGCTTTTACCCATCAAGAAGACATGGACCAGCCTTGGCATGCAGTAGGGTGAATTTACAGACAATAGCTGAGGTGGAGGAGGGATAGATGAAGGCAGGAATTGGTGCCTGAATAGTGCATCAATGCTTTATTCTTTAAAAAAAGAATAGTGACTGCAGCAGGGCAGGTGGCCCCATTAGGACTTGGCTTCAGGGAGTAAAATGTCCTGTGCTGGCACCCAAAAGAACTTGCATGGCCCTGACGGTATCAGTGTACTGGGCTTCCCCCCCAGGTTAGATGCTGATTTTGCAGTGGTGTTGCAAGCCACTGTTTTGTTCTGCCTTTGTTGGACTGAAGTCATAGGCCTGGGATGTTAGGAATTTGACCTGTTGCTTTTGCAGCTGAGACAAAAATAAATCCACTGTGAACTGAATTAAGGTAAAAGAATATTATTTTGCAGCAGGATTTTGGTATACCCACACCAAGCAGGTCAAGAGCACCATGTGAGGTTGCAAACTCAAAATGGCACTGAATTGGCCATTCAGCTGCTGCGGCCACTCTCTTCCCTTCCTTTCCTTTCCCTTCCCTTCCCTTCCCTTGACCCATCTGTACACTTCACTCTGTGGCAGAGCAGATTTTCTCCATGCAGGCAGTCCCAGCTTCAATCTCCAGCATCTCCAGGCTGTGAGAGAGCCCTGTCTGAAATCCCAGAGACCTGTGGCTGGTGTACACAACACTGGGCTGAATCAACCAATGGTGTCACTCAGCAAAAGGCAGTTTCCCACATTCCTATTTTGGGGGTGACAGGGGAGGGATAGTGAACTTGTGGTGGGCAGCAGAGAGGGTCTGCATGGGCTGCATATAGCCTGTGGGCTGTGAGCTGCCCTCCCGTGTCCTAGAGATTTGAACCTCCATCAGACATGCTGTTCACCACACAATCTCTCCAAAGTACATTATGAAGAGAGACTCTGCCTGTGTGGACAACCCTGTGTCCCTGCCATTATTTATTGCAGCGCCCGTTATATATAGACCCAAGAGACCGATTTATAAAACCCTTGTTTATGAATGGAACACATCTGAATAGGGTGGAAAGGGTGAAATGGCTGCTGAGCGACACTTATAAGTAACTTTGTTACTTATAAAGTAGTACTCTATGCGCTGGCAACTAAGAAGATCAGGAGGAAGGAACTAGACAAAATAGTGATCAACTGCAAAGGGGCATTCAGATATTTAATTTGGCACATCTTACCTGAGAATCTTCTGCTATTCTATTCTATTTAATGCAACAAATAATTTTAGTAGCCGTGACCGTGGTTTTATTGTATGTCTGTGCCCGATTATTTTTATGGTTATTGGTGTTTTTTTCCTTTCTCCTTCTGAATGATGCCATGGCCTATGGCTAGTGCAATAAAAAGTTTAACTGGAAATTGTTTAAAAACCTGCTTCTGTGGAGTTAGGACACTTCATCCCCACCCCCTGGGTATCCCATTGCACACCAGGCTATTATTATTATTATTATTATTATTATTATTATTATTATTATTATTGGTAACGTCCATGTTTGCTGTACGTCCCATGTTTGGCATTCATTCAGTAAATGTTTGCTGTACGTCCCATGTTTGCATTCATTCAGTAAATGCGCCCTTCCCTGCTACCTGCCCAGATAAAGGACCCCTGACCATTAGGTCCAGTCGTGACTGACTCTGGGGTTGCGGTGCTCATCTCGCTTTATTGGCCAAGGGAGCCGGCGTACAGCTTCCGGGTCATGTGCCCAGCATGACTAAGCTGCTTCTGGCGAACCAGAGCAGCACACAGAAACACCGTTTACCTTCCCACTGGAGCGGTACCTATTTATCTACTTGCACTTTGGCGTGCTTTCGAACTGCTACGTGGGCAGGAGCTGGGACAGAGCAACAGGAGCTCACCCCGTCATGGGGATTCAAACCGCCGACCTTCTGATCGGCAAATCCTAGGCTCTGTGGTTTAACCCACAGCGCCACCTGCCTCCCTACCTGCCCAGATAGGAAGTGCCTTATTCTGAAACATACCATTGGTCCATCTAGCTCAAATACTGACTCGCAGCAAGCCTGCAGGGTTTCAGACAAGGAGTCATAGAATCATAGAGTTGGACGAGACCCCAAGGGTCATCAAGCCCAACCCCCAGCAAGGCAGGAGTCTCTCCCACCCCTACCTGGAGATGCCAGGGATTGAACCTGGAACCTTGTGCATGCAGAGCAGATGTTCTGCCGCTGAACTATGGCCCTTCCCCTCTGATGATGGACAGAGAAAACCTCATAGTATGGCAGTGGTGTGTCATAATTCTTCAAATCAATGTCTTCCCTTGCTTTTTGTTTGGTCTGCAATGGGAGGATGGGGTAGAGGCCAGAAAAGAGCCATTTCATGTCTGCTCCAGACCCACAAAGCCAGCTGGGTGGACTGCACAGATCACTGTCAACAGAGCTCAGTTGCTTCCGGGGATCAGCCCTGGAACTGCTTTTCAGTGTTTCTCTCAACTTTTGAACATGCAAAGTAGTAATAAAAAGGGCCCTTCTGAGCATGTGCAGAGTGCATGAGTAAGCAGACACCCCTCACAGCCAGCCAAGATTCTACACTTAGGGAGGACTAGTGATGAGGTCTTCCAGGGGTGTACCTGAGGACTCTTTTAAGGGTGCCCTCAGCTAGAAGATTATTTGTTTAATGTCAGGTATATCAGTTCAACATGAAACACTGACTATGCTGATCACTAGAACAAAGGAAGCCAGACCACTGGTCCATGTAACTCAGTACAGTGGTACCTCGGGTTAAGAACTTAATTCGTTCTGGAGGTCCATTCTTAACCTGAAACTGTTCTTAACCTGAAGCCCCACTTTAGCTAATGGAGCCTCCTGCTGCTGCTGCACCGCCGGAGCACGATTTCTGTTCTCACCCTGAAGCAAAGTTCTTAACCCGAGATACTATTTCTGGGTTAGTGGAGTCTGTAACCTGAAATGTCTGTAACCTGAAGCGTATGTAACCTGAGGTACCACTGTACTGATTGCTGACTGGCAGCAGAGCTACACTGACTTGCATTCCCAGCCCTGCACTGGAGCTGCCGGGAACTGAACCTGCAACCTTCTGCAGGCCAAGCAGTTGCTCTGTCACTGACCTATGAGGCTTCCTGCTGCTAGGCTGGATGATGAGCAAACGGGTCACTGTGCAACCCCAGTGAGCTTGACCCTTACTTGTTCCAGTATCAGTTGGCATTTCTTTCTCTGAAACACATTTTTCCATGTTGGGGTACAGGGCTGTCGCTTGCAGAAGATGGAGAGCTATGTTTTGGGGATGCTCTAACTCCAGATTTCTTGTACTGTATTGAGAAGGTGAACAGATGGACTACAAGACATTGCCCTGCTCTCCTGCCCAGGGTGGGGGGTATGCTGGAATTAGGGAAACTTTTCAAAAAATCAAGAGATGGTCACATCACATCCCACAGCTGGTGCGCTTCTTGGGTAAACTTCAACCGTCTTCCCAGACTTCCAGTTGTTTGGAGTTGAAAGAATTGTAGTCCGAAACATCAGGAGGGCTCTGCATTGGGGGACAACGCTGCTATGCTCAAGGCAAGGTGCTTAAGGAGTGGCAAAAGTGGACCCCACCCCACCACTAAGAGACAGTGAGGTGGTTGCTGTTGTTTAGTCATGTCCGACTCTTCGTGACCCCATGGACCAGAGTACGCCAGGCACTCCTGTCTTCCACTGCCTCCTGCAGTTTGGTCAGACTCAGGCTGGTAGCTTCAAGAATACTGTCCAAGCATCTCGTCCTCAGACAGTGAGGTGCAGTGGTTAAAGTGTTGAACCTGCGCTGCGGAAACTCAAGATCAAATCCCCGCTCAGCCATGATGCTCACTGTGTGGCTCGGGACCAGTTTCTCCTCCAATCTCCTCTCTCTTTTCCAGCTTAACCTAACTGACTGGGCTGTTGCAGTGGTGTAATGGAGGGGGAGGACTCTGTATGCTGCCTTGAACAATAAGGAAATCAAACTTCCTCAGTCTGGAGCACTGCTGATGCATTGGGCCACAGCTCCCATGGAAGTACGGCAACGGGGCTGCTGGGAGTTGTAGTTCAAAACATCTCCAGGGGGGCACCAGCTTGGGGAAGGCTGAAATAAATAACCAGAAACCTTCTTTTCCTAGAGTCAGTATTCCTAATATACCTCATGCGTCTTGAAACCAGTAGGCAGTAAATTTCCAGGAGAGGCCAGCTAGTTTCTTACAGCGAAAAACAACAGGGACTAGTTACTTTTGCCGCAGCAAAGACAACAGGGACTAGTTACTTCGGATTAATGAGCGGCTGGGTCATATGCAGCAAGTTATCCCGCATTCTCGCCCCTGCCCTGGTCTTGAGCACCCACCAGCCCCGTCCTCACGGAACAAAGGGGAATCCAAGGAAGGGCGCTTACCTGTCACACAGAAACTTGTCCCAAGCCGGCAGAGAAAAGCGCTTCCCCCCGCGATCCCCGCAGAGAAGATGCGACTTCTAGCTGTGTTGTTTTCAATCGCCCTGGTCTGGAAAGAGCGGGATCGGGCGGACGAGGCGGCCAATGGAGCCGAGACTTTCCCCAACCGGTTCCCTCCCACCCCAAAGGATTTGGCCATACAAGGCGAAAGAATGCCGAGCTGTGCGGGTGGCAGCAGCCCAGCCGGGGGACGCGGGGCTGGGGACGGAGGGAAGAGGACGGCAAGCGAGGATTCTGCCTTATATAGATGAAATGATGTCCGGGCTGGGGAGGAGGGGGACCGGGAGAAGGAACAGAGGCTTCGCGGTGCCGGGAGCAGCCGATGGAGAGGATGGAGACGCAGCTTCCTTTATAAGGCTGCAAGCGACGCCAAGGACGCCCTTCTGTGCTGGTTGGGCGCAGGAGTTTAAACAAAGCTATTAAAGAAACTTTTAAAAGCCAGAAACTTCCTGGGCGCAGGGATCATTGGCATTTTTTCCTTTCCCCAACACACAGCTTTTGCCTGCGCAGAATTCCAGCATTCCTGCTTTTTCCTCGTACGAAATAAAAGCATAGACACAGGAAAATCTCCCCCACCCCGACTTTTCTTTTAATTTTGAGAGATGTTTCCTCTTCCACTCTATCCCTCCCTCCGCAGTTAAAGCAAACACCAGTCTCGGCCCCGACCCCTTGTGGCGCAGGCTGGTATCGCAGCCGCGGTGACCTGGGGCTGCCTCCGCCCAGTCGAGGGACGCTGAACTTTTATTTTATTTTATTTTATTGGTTGGGGGGATTCACTTGCTAATCAACCATGCAGGTGCTCCGAAGAGGAGAATTGTATGACGCTGATGTTTTGCAGCACGCTTCTTGTTGCGGTATTTCCATCCATTCGGTACTTTAAAATTTTGAAATTAGAGGCTGCCTTACCCTCCAGTAGGGAAACGGGTGGTGCTGTGGGTTAAACCACAGAGCCTAGGACTTGTCGATCAGAAGGTCGGCGGTTCGAATCCCTGTGACGGGGTGAGCTCCCGTTGCTCGGTCCCAGCTCCTGCCAACCTAGCAGTTCGAAAGAATGTCAATGTGCAAGTAGATAAATAGGTACCGCTCCAGCGGGAAGGTAAACAGCGTTTCCGTGCGCTGCTCTGGTTTGCCAGAAGCGGCTTAGTCATGCTGGCCACATGACCTGTACGCCGGCTCCCTCGGCCAATAAAGCAAGATGAGCGCCGCAACCCCAGAGTCGTTCGTGACTGAACCTAATGGTCAGGGGTCCCTTTACCTTTACCCTCCATTAAGAATTAGATTAAGAAGTCCCATCTGGATCAAGTTCAAGGTCCATCTCACAGGGGCCGACAAGATGAGTGCAACATCACTCTTCTTGCTTGTGATTTTCAGCAACTGGAATTCAAGAGGCCTTCAGTACTGGAGGTGGAACCTGTTATTTTAGACCCTATCCAGCGCAACCAAAAACAAATGTGCTTCATCAGCCATAAGGCAGCCCATCAAATAGCTGGAGATGGCTTTTCGCATACTGCTTACTAATCTCTTTTCCAGGTTAAAAATCATCTTCAACTCCTTCAGCTTTTCTTCGTAGGATTGGATATTCAGGTTCTTCACCACCTTTGCTGGTTTCCTCTGGGCACTTTGTCCAGGCAGCAATTCTGTAACACTTTATCTGGGAGCAAATCCCACTGAACTCAGCGGTCTTTACTTCTGCATGGACACGCAGAGGAATGCACTGCAAGTAATAGGCCTGTCATGCTGTAGTGAGCAAGTTTGATGAAATAGAATGCAAAGTGTTTTGGAAACAACAACTTCAAATCATTACATTTCCATAAAACCCAGACAGAACGCCTTTGCACTGAAATATTATCATTTCTACACATGTATGTCACGCTTTGTCAAATTGCCTTGAAATATGTTCAAAGCTGAAAGGCAAGACTTACTATTATTTATTTTTTACAACAAATAAATGGTAATTGCTTCCTAACCATTTCCTCAGGAATATATATTTGCAGGACTTCAAAATTCAGTAACCATTGTAACGGTGTGAGATCATAATTATAGTTTTAACATTTATAGAACTGTCTACAGCAGAGCTGGGCAAATATTGATTGGGATCTCCTGGCAGATTGCTAGACGATTTGTTGTAAATTGATGAAGGGTTCTGAATAGCAATTGTTTACAATAGCAGCAATAAGAAGATTTCCTGTTTTAGAATACCTGATTTACAGTAACTCGGATGTAGACTTGTATGTCCATTTACAGGTCAGTGTATGGCTCTTGTGGTAGATAACTGACTTTGCCCCCAAAGCAGTTTTTCCCATCTGTCGCCACCCACTGCCAATATTTTGCACCCAGTTTGTTTTGTGAATCTCAGGGTTCCAGTAAAAAGCAAAACAGATTCCCCAAGCCTGAAATCTGCTCACACTTGCTTTGGAATATCCCCATCACTTCACATACATTATCTACTCAATCTTTGCACCAACTCTGCACAGTAGGTTGGCATTATTAGCTTCCTATTACAGAGAGGGAGCTGAGTCGGACAGGCTTGCACCACTTTCAGTGCATTTGTATGCACTTATATGGAGATGTAAGCCTTACTTAGTTCAGTGGGACTTACTCCCAGCTAAACGTGTATAGGATTGCAGCCTTAGGGAGTTTATGACTAATCAAATTTTAGGGATTTTAGCTTACCACTCACCCACTTAACTAGGGCTGTAGCATTTAGGTTGCATACTAGCCTGGAGAAAGCCCCACTGCATATGAGTGAGTTTTACTTTTGGACAAGCACACGTGCTAGACAATTTATTCGTTAGTTACTTGATTGGGGAAAATAATTGATCTATTTATTTATTTAAAGAGCTTATATATGTACGGCTTAAATACAATACAGTGGTGCCTCGCAAGACGAAATTAATTCGTTCCGCGAGTTTTTTTCGTCTTGTGATTTTTTCGTCTTGCGAAGCACAGTGTTGGAAAAGTTTTGGAAAAGCTTCAAAAATCACCAAAGTCTTCAAAAACCTCAAAAAAGGCTACCACACCGCGTGCTATGAGTTGCTCCTTGAAGTCAAGTCGCAACTGTATTAACGATTTTAAGAAAAAGGAAACAAACTTGCAAGACGTTTCCGTCTTGCGAAACAAGCCCATAGGGAAAACCGTCTTGCGAAGCAACTCAAAAAACCAAAAACCCTTTCGTCTTGCGAGTTTTCCGTCTTGCGAGGCATTCGTCTTGCGAGGTACCACTGTAGTCTCTAAGTGGTTTACAAGAATACAATGCAAAAAGTAAAAACCAGTATTTACTCCTGGATGAACGGGGTTAGAACTGCAGCCTAATATTTCTTTACTTGGGTGGTGTAGTGGGTGGCAGTCCCACTACACTAGTCCTGCTCTCTGAACCAGTGTGGCATAGTGGTTAGATTGTCAAGCTAAGACCTTGGGGACCAGAGTTGAAATCTCTGCTCATCCATTAAGTTCACTGGATGGCCTTGGGCCAGTTACCATGTCTCAACCTAACACCTACCTCACAGGTTGTTGTGAGGGTAAAATGGAGAGGCGGGAAGAAGTCCTTGAGCTCCTTGGAAGAAAGGTGGGATAGAAATGTAATAATAATAATTCAATTCCTGAATTAAGCCAGCAAAGCATTTTGCAATCAGAACTATGTTCTTGGCCATTATCCTAAACATATTCACAAAACACGTTTGAGATTGCACTGGTAGTAATACAGTGGTACCTCAGATTACAGACGCTTCAGGTTACAGACTCCACTAACCCAGAAATAGTACCTCGGGTTAAGAACTTTGCTTCAGGATGAGAACCGAAATCATGCAGCAGCGGCAGCAGGAGGGGTGCTTCAGATTAAGAAGTTTCAGGTTAAGAAAGGACCTCCAGAACGAATTAAGTTCTTAACCCGAGGCATCACGGTATGTAGGAAACTCGCAATACTGGGCACAAAGTCAATAAAGACCATGACCTGAAAGCACAATAAAGAACTACATACTTCCAGAGGTATGTTCTGGAGGCTCCTGCCAAGTTGCCAGTATGATAGACAGGTACTCTCTCCTCTTTTGTTCTGACTCTTGTCTGACACCAATCTGTGGCTCTGAAGGGGTTGTTTTTTTAATTTAAGTAAGCCCACTGGAAGGTTTGGCTTTGATGCTTTGCAGCTATGGTTATGTGTTTAATAGTTTTTGTTATATTACAGTGCAGTTTTAGGAGCCATATTCCCACTGTGAGAGCAATGAGTTAAGCAAATACAGTGGTACCTCGGGTTACATACGCTTCAAGTTACATATGCTTCAGGTTACAGACTCTACTAACCCAGAAATATTACCTCGGGTTAAGAACTATGCTTCAGGATGAGAACAGAAATCATGCTCCGGCGGCGCGGCGGCAGCAGGAGGCCCCATTAGCTAAAGTGGTGCTTCAGGTTAAGAACAGTTTCAGGTTAAGAACAGACCTCCGGAACGAATTAAGTACTTAACCCGAGGTACCACTGTAGTGTAAATTCCCAAGTGCCTTTTATCTTTCACGGCTGTATTTGTGATCCCATGGGAAAGAAGATCACAGGTCAAGGCAGAATCATAATAGGCTGTTGTGAAAGCTGTGGAAGACAATAACTTTCTGCCACCTTGCGGCCAGTGAACATAGTATTAGGGTCCTATTCGAAAGCAATCTTGCATCTTGAGCCAGAAAGGGAAATCCACCCAAGTGAGAAGGCAGCCTACTTACTGCATATGGTAGGTATAGATGCAAACACATATATGCACTGAGGCCCTGCTGAATTGGCTGGTTTCACCTTTCGATGCACAAGGCACATGCATTTACCTTGTCTACTTATGTATAACTAGGGCTGGAGTAGGGCTTCCCTTTCCCAGAGGGCCATTTTGCTTGTTACATGAGCAATATGACATGACCATTTCACATATCACATGGGTTGAGTGTACACTCAAAAAGATCCTGTAGCCTTTCTGCAACAAATGTACCTTGTTTCAAAACACCTGTTTGCGTCACTTTCAGCCTTGATAATTTGGGGTGTCTTCTTTAAAATTGTTAAAGAATCAAATGTGTATGAAGAGGTTAGAACTGCTCAGCCTTTGTAACTCCTTTTTTATATAAAAAAATCGAAACAGAATACTGTACTGGAGACTTGGCACAATCCCATGTATATTTTGATGCTGGCGAAGACCTCTCCTCAACATTGTGCTCTTTAAAGGTAAAGGTACCCCTGCCCGTACGGGCCAGTCTTGACAGACTCTAGGGTTGTGCGCCCATCTCACTCAAGAGGCCGGGGGCCAGCGCTGTCCGCAGACACTTCCGGGTCACGTGGCCAGCGTGACATCGCTGCTCTGGCGAGCCAGAGCCGCACACGGAAACGCCGTTTACCTTCCCGCTAGTAAGCGGTCCCTATTTATCTACTTGCACCCGGGGGTGCTTTCAAACTGCTAGGTTGGCAGGCGCTGGGACTGAGCAACGGGAGCGCACCCCGCCGCGGGGATTCGAACCGCTGACCTTTCGATCGGCAAGTCCCAGGCGCTGAGGCTTTTACCCACAGTGCCACCTGCGTCCCTTTGTGCTCTTTAGGTAGATGTTTAATCCTGTGACAGTG